AGCACGGGCTCAATTGTGTGGGAAGGACAGTACGTGCCTCGATTTGCGCACGCAGCTCCGAATGACCACAAGCAGCGGGATCACCTCAACTCTCTGTGCGAAAGGGAGCTGGTCGGCCACAAGCGGCTTAATTGGCTGCAAGCGGCAACAGCAAGTTGGAGCAGGGGCAGAGGTGGGCCCAGAAGAGAGCCGCTCTCAACGGCCAAGGGAAGAAGGAAACGTGAGCATCGGGCTAGGCCCGTTTCCTATAATCGGGGGGGGGCATTAGGTTGGGAACCAGCTCGGGAGGGGAAAGCATCGAACTGGGATCGGTGACACATCGCCGAATGTGCTATCGGGGGTCGATACACCACCTCCTGAGCCTATCCCCCCCGACGTTGCCTGCGATAACCTCACCCTTCGACACCCCACACGCACAGTATGCACACAACAGAAGAAGTATTGCTGTAAGAAATCTTGGGGCGTATCCTTCGTCGACTCTGAGCTCCGCAAGGTATCCCAATGCTCTGCGGGCCCATCGGGCGATGAGTAGAAACCATCGTGGGGCACCCGCCGGGAGGCCGGTGTCTTATGTGGTGCGCCTACTGTACGGGTCCCCCCGAAGCTATACACCTGATGAGCGGCCCCTCGGACCTCGCACCACGAGGAGCTGGATTTGTTTTCGGGTTGTGCTTCTTTTACCCAGGGGGGGGAAACAGCTCCCCCGCGAGCGGAGGGGGCTGCGTAGAGGAGCGACAGGAGGAAGACCAGCTCCCTGCGCCCGGCCCCGCCGCGCCGAGGAGAGGGGGCGGCGGCGGCGCCCCCTCCCGGCACAGCGAGGCGGAGCGGTGCTGGCCGAGGAGAGGGGCAGGGCGAGGGGTAGGGCGAGGGTAGGGCGAGGGCGAGGGAGCAGCTCCTGGGCGGCGTTATGCAAGAGCGATGTTCGAGGCTATCGAGCCCGATTGGGGGGGCATTGTGCCAGATTCGGCTGGATTAGGCCAGGGATTAGCCCCGATCAAGCCGAAGCGAGCAGGGCTACGCGGGATTCAGCCAGATTAAACGCATCCAGTCCAGATTAGGCTCGTTTCCGACCAGGGATGTGCCAGCGCTGATGCTGAATTAACCTCCCAGGCGTTGCATCCGAATCCCAGGATCTCACAACTATCCAGCGGACCTTTTGTCTAGAGCCCATGCGGAGCAATGGGAAATCTTGAGAATAGGGGCAATCTTGGAACGCATCGTTGCCAGGACTTCTGGCTCCTCTGAAGAAAAGCCGCACAAGCATAAACTATCAGAGGTCCGAGCGGATCTCTTGGATCGGCGCTGCCCCCCCCTCCCCGCCCCGCAGCGTCGCTCTGGCGCCGCTCCTGGCGCGCTCCTCGCGCGCCTTAAGGAGGGGGTTTGGTCCAATTCGGATCTCAGGAATCCGCGCGGATCGCCCAAAGCTTCTGCGTCGCTGCGACATTCCTTTTGAACGCGCCCAGGTGGACGAAGCAGACACCGCGGCAAACCAACGGCAAACCTTGCGCACGAGGCGGAGTTTGCCCTGGTGGCCGAGGCGCCCTCCCCAGGACGAAAAGCCGCGCGTCGGAACTAACGGCGTGGCGACACGTGTGTTTGCAGGTCCTCCTCCCTCGCGCTAAGGAGGGCCGCTCGCGATGGGCCGCTGGCCACGGCCGCGCGGCGTGGGGGCCCCCACGCCGCGCCGGCGCGGAGTGCTGGGGCGGCCAGCGTGGCAGGGGGCGCGGGCCGAGGCGAAAGGCATACGCCCCGAAGGCCTGGCCTAAGCCTCGGCCTGCGAGGGCGAGATCGAAGGGGCCCTGGAACACACAAATAAATTCACACAAATAAAATCATCCCGGCAAAGCAACCTAACAGCGATGTGTAGAAGCATATCTGGAAGCATTCCCCTTAAGATTTAGGTGAGAATCCAGTTGTAGAATTCTGCTGTTCTCGCAGTCGCAGCCTCAGCCTGCCTCGGCTTGCCTCGGCCTCAGCCTCAGCCTGCCTCGGCCTCAGCCTCAGCCTCAGCCTGCCTCAGCCTCAGCCTCCTCAGCCTCAGCCTGCATCAGCCTCAGCCTCAGCCTGCCTCAGCTCAGCCTGCCTCAGCCTCAGCCTCAGCCTGCCTCAGCCTCAGCCTCAGCCTCAGCCTCAGCCTCAGCCTCAGCCTCAGCCTCAGCCTCAGCCTGCTCAGCCTCAGCCTCAGCCTCAGCCTGCCTCCTCAGCCTCAGCCTCAGCCTGCCTCAGCCTCAGCCTCAGCCTCAGCCTCAGCCTCAGCCTCAGCCTCAGCCTGCCTCAGCCTCAGCCTCAGCCTCAGCCTCAGCCTCAGCCTCAGCCTCAGCCTCAGCCTCAGCCTCAGCCTCAGCCTCAGCCTCAGGGCCTTGCCTCGGCCTCAGCCTCAGCCTGCCTCAGCCTCAGCCTCAGCCTCAGCCTCAGCCTGCCTCCTCAGCCTGCCTCAGCCTCAGCCTCAGCCTCAGCCTCAGCCTCAGCCTGCTCAGCCTCAGCCTCAGCCTCAGCCTCAGCCTCAGCCTCAGCCTCAGCCTCAGCCTCAGCCTCAGCCTGCCTCGCCTCAGCCTCAGCCTCAGCCTGCCTCAGCCTCAGCGTCAGCCTCTCAGCCTCAGCCTGCATCAGCCTCAGCCTCAGCCTCAGCCTGCCTCAGGCTCAGTCTCAGCCTGCCTCACCCTCAGCCTGCCTCAGCCTCAGCCTCACAGTTGGTTCCGGGCAATCAGAATGCAGCCTGGGAGTAGCGTTCTGGGAACACGAAGAACACGAAGCGGCCTACAGTTGGCTCCGGGCATTCAAAATGTGGCCCGTGAATGGTGTTCTGGGAACACGAAGAACACGAAGTGGCCTACAGTTGGCTCCGGGCATTCAAAATGTGGCCCGTGAATGGTGTTCCGGGAACACGAAGAACACGAAGTGGCCTACAGTTGGCTCCTGGCATTCAAAATGTGGCCCGGGAATGGTGTTCTGGGAACACGAAGAACACGAAATGGCCTACAGTTGGCTCCAGGCATTCAAAATCATACCCAGGAATGGAGTTCTGGGACCTCGAAGACCTCGAAGTGTGTAACTGTTTCCTTAAAACGACTTCCGCGGTTTCTCCCCGGCACCCGCCCAGTCCCCCCTGGGGAGTCAAGATGCTCTCTTCTGACACTACTAGAAACCTGTCAGTCTTCGCTGTTAGGTAAATATTCATCATATGTTCCCATATTTTCTAGGTTTCTGTCTTCCCCCCAACTTCCCATATTGTCCCATATTGTCTGGTGAATCGACGATTAATTGTGCCTGTGTTTTTCCGCCTCCTGAGAGATCTGGGGGTCCCCGTCATCCTCTGCCCCTTCGTGCTTCTCCCATGCCCCCAGGGTCGGGCGATGCGGGGGGCATAAAAAAGGGGGCTTGGCGAACGAGCGTACGCAGCTGGCCTTCCTCGCGCCTCTTGGCGCCAGGAGGCGCAGACGTATCGAAGAAGGCGCCCGGCGGCGGGGCCGAAACCAGCTGCATGCAGCAGTTTTCGGCCCCATCCCTTTCGTCCAATCCAGAAGTCGGCACGAGGGGTTTTCGCAGGATGCGCCAAGGGATCTGCAAAACTGGATCTCCCAGCGAGGCTTACTTTTAGAAACGGCACAACCATGGTACCAGTGCGCTCGGCGCTGACCTTTTGCCAGGGGAGGCCTCCAGCGGGAGGCCGCTGGCAGGGAGGGAGAGCACGGACTGCGTGAGGACACCTCGCGAGAAAGCCAACCCCGTCGCTTCATGCCCGTGCCTCTCGAGCGAGAGCTCCGGTTGCTCCGGACCCAGATCTGTACTTTGCTCGGTGTGGTCTTCAACCAGGAGAAACCTTCGCAGCAGACGCCTGAGAGGCGCCTCTGCAGGCGATGGGGTACCCCCGAGAGGGGCCCAACAGAACAACAGACTTGGGACGGCGCTCTGCACCCCGCCATTCCTTTTACCAAAGAACAGAACGCATGCACATCAACTTGCGGAGCTCCGCTCGGACTGCTTCGGTCGGCGCTGGGCCCCCCGCGCCAAGGGCCGCGCCGGAGGCGCCGCCAGGGGGGCCCACCGCCGATCCAAGATCTCCGTGCGGATCTCCGAGAGTTTGTGCCAGCGCAGTCTGTTTCTTCCTCGGCTTTTTGGTCAAGGGAAGCCGCCAGCGACCCGACGCGAGGGCTCAGCACAGCGGGCCTGGAGATTCCCCGAGGCGGTGGGCCTCGGGCAAGCCCCCGCGCCACCGCAGCAAACGCCGAAGGGGGCCCTGCGATTGCGCGCGGGCACCGCGCTCGGCGCGTGCAGCCCGGGCGCGGTGTGGGCGGCGGGTCGGCGGACGGGGCCCGCCACGACGGGGGGTACCGCACGAGCGTTGCCAAGATCGGAGGAGGGCCCGTCGAGACAAATTCGGTCCCGCCCGGCGTTTCTCGCAGTGTCTGGGCCTGCTGGAGGCCTCTAGCAACCACTGCTGGACCCGCCTTGGCCAACGTGACAGGATGGACTGCGGGAGGGGTCCGGGGACCGACCGGAGCGGACTTGAGCTGGGCAGGAGAACTGCCGTTGTCTCAGCTGGCCCTCCTCCGACAAGACTCTTCTCGCCTCTCGCGGAGGCGTGCCGCCTTGCGTGTATCGGCACTCACAAGAGCATTGTCTGCCTCAAAGCGTCAGAGGAGGAGCAGGGACCACCACCACCGGGAGCCAAACGTGGGGGGGGGGTGGGGGGGGCACTCCTGGGCGGTGGCGCGCCTGAGCGTCGTCCAGTACTGGGTGACGGTCGGGCGAGGCACCGCCCAGGGTCGGCCCTCCCCCCGATGGGGTCTCTGTGGCGGTGGTCCCTGTTTCTCCTCTGAAGACGGGCACTAGAAAGAATATTCAGTGGACCCAGCCGACACCAACGGACCATAGAACTCGACGACAGACGAAGGCATTCGGCAACAGTGGACTGCACTATCAGGAGACGGTGAGAAAACCGTGGCCGAGGGAGAGTGAGAGCGAGGAGCGCTTGAACCACTGCAGGCATCATCGTACTCCTAGCGGACAACTTTGCCCTTCACGGGCTTGAGCACTTTGAAGCTGCACATCAGCGTCTCGTCGATGCTCATTATCGCCCCCGCGTTGTCAAACTCCCCGCAGTAGTTCGGAGCGCTGAAGAGCGTTATCAGCTGACGCTTCGCGAAAAACTCGTACCCGTCCTCCACGACCTGGTGCGCACGGCACACCTGGGGAAAAAAACAAACTGCATGTACATAAACTTTCGGAGCTCCGTGCGGAGCTCCCCAAGTCTATATGTCTGCACTTGTTCTTCTTCGAGCACCAGGTCCATGTCCTGCTTCACCAGGAACGAGCTCACCACGTCTGGCCCGAAGACGAAGGAGACCCCACGGTCGCTCTCACACCACCCAGAGATGTCCTTGTCGGGGTCGGCCCAGAGGAGGTCGCAGAGGAGCCCACTGTCCGGCACGTCCGTGGGCCGCGTTATCCTGCGGATCTCCTCCATGTTTCGGATCTCAGGAGACAGGCCGCCGTGCATGCAGATCCGCCACCGCGCTTGCAGCGTTTGGTCGATAGCGAACCCTCGGTTTCCATTTCTCCCGCTTCTTGCGAAGCATCAAATTGAAGCCCCCCGACGCATCGAACCCACTTTCATGTGTTCTACCTCATGTCCCTGTGTTGTTCGTCTTTCGACTACAATAAATTATCAAAAACGAAGGTGCGGGTAGGGTCCCCCTTGGCGTGTCTCCCCCCGCCGCCGCCCTCCTGGCGCGCGCCCCCCCCCCGACCCCCCCCCCCCAGGCGCAAACCCGAACGCGGTGGCGGAATCGCGCGGCAGCGCATCTGGATAATCTTCTCGTCAATGAGGGCACAGGCGGGGAGGCAGTTGAACACGTCGCAGAAGGTCTTCCACAGCTTGATGTTGTAGCGCCGCTTGCACTCGTCGTAGAAGCCGTAGATGCGCGTGATTGACGCGCATTCGTGATTACCGCGGAGGCAAAAGAAGTTCTCGGGAAATTTTACTTTGAAAGAAAACAGCAGCACGATCACTTCCAAACTCTGCTTTCCGCGGTCGACGTAGTCGCCGAGAAACAGATAGTTGCTGTCCGGAGGGAACCCACCGTACTCGAACAGGCGGAGGAGATCGTTATACTGCCCGTGGATGTCACCACAGATCTTGAGCGGCGCCTCCACCTCCAGCAGCGAGTTCTGCCCCAGGACGATCTCGCGCACCGCCGAGCAGAGCGTCTTGAGCTGCCCCTCCGGCACGGTCACCATCTTGCCCGGCTTAGCGCCCCGCACCTCGAGACACTGCTCGATGATGGACTCCAGGTTGAGCTCCTCGGACTTCTTCATGGCGCGGTCGTCGCGGAAGCAAAGGGGGGGACGGGCACTGCGGGCAGGCCGGGGGCGCGGGTCTCCGCTGGCCCTGGGTGGGCGGCCTTCGCCGCTCGAGCCCCGCCGGCCTGGGTCAACATGACTGGGGCCGAGGCGGCTGCGGACGGGGGCTCTACCAAGGCCACGCTGGCGGCGATGTCGGTTGGCAGCGATGTTGGCAATCTGATTGTTGCGACGCCGAACTCGCGCAGAACAGATTTTATGAAGACGCGAACAGTCCTACAAGTGGGCTGGCCACGATCCGCTCCCACCTACACTGCCGAACCGCACATCGCCGTTACCTACATCGCGGTTTGCGTGACTACGGCTCCAGTGTCAGCTGGGCGTGAGGGAAGCGGGTCCTGGAAGGGCGAGGGGTCCTGAAAGTTCTTCGCAGTCTGCAGGCACTTCGGGCATCCCACGGTCCCTGGGATCGTCATGTGGCCCAGGCGAATTACACTCTTAGTGGGATGCTGATGGGGTCCTGGTAGGTTCCTGAGAGGCTCCTAGGAAGCTCGTGAAAAAGGTCTTGATAGCTACCTTGAGGCTCCTGAGACATGCTCCTGAGAAGCTCCTGAGAAGCTCCTGAGAGGCTCCTGAGAGGCTCGTCAGAAGCTATTGGGAGGGTCCGCTCCTTAGAGGCTCCTCAAAGACTCCTGAGAGGCTCCCGAAAGGTTCCTGAGAGGCCTCTGAGAGGCTTTTGATAATCCCAAGACGAATTCGACTCAGAACACGATCAACACAAGTGACGACAGCTGGCCGGCCGCGCGGCGGAAGCTCGACGGCACCGCGCACGCAACCACCGAGACCCAGAAGAGAACATCGGGAACCTCTTGAAATGCGACCACAGCGAAACCAGCCGTGGACGGTGAAACAGTAGTTACTTCTCGTCCGGGTCGCTGGCTGTGGCCTGGCGGCCTCGACGGCGACGGCGATGACGACCCAGGAGTCTCTTCTCAGTCGTCCACTTGCAGCGGGGCGCTGCGACCACCCCCAGGCACTTCTTAGTCGCTTGGCAACAATACCTCTATGAGAACCCTTACGCAATCACTGTTACGGAAAGGTGGTGCGGGATGAAGGAACTGGTCTCGGGGAGAGCCTCAGATTCCAAGACCCGTTTCCCTGAGGACGCGATTCCTTCATGGCTATCTGAGTGAGGCTACCGGCAGCTGGTTCTCCGAGGCTCTTGGCATATCAGCAAGCGCGAACTCGAAATAGACCCGAAGACTGAAACAAAATGGACAGGATAATATTTGAATAGATCGGGCTGGAGGAGACTGGGCTGGACTGGGGTGGGCTGGAATGGTCTGGATAAACTGGACTACATACGCTGGTCTGGACTGGATTGGACTTGGGTTCAGATGGACGAGGAGCAAGCACAGGAGAAACAGAAAGGGGTTACCTGCCGTTTCCGTCGAAGTAGTGAAGTGCGAAGAAGAGGAAGACAAGGTAGAGGAGGGGAAACGGCTCGCCAGTCGCCTCCAAGAAACGAGCCTCTCGGCGTGAGGCCCCTTGGAAATGATGGTTTTGATGTTGATGCTGATGTTGATGACGATAATGATGATGATGATTGGGATGCTGATGATACGGATGGTGATGACAATACGGATGACGATGACGATGAAGATGACGATACTGATGTTGATGATGAGGAAGAAGAGGAGGAGGGTGTTGAGATGATGATGATGATGATGATGATGATGATGATGATGATGATGATGATGATGATGGTAACGATGATGATTACGCTGAGTGTGGGGGGATAAGACGAGGATGAGGATGGTTGTGCTGGTGATGAAAAGGAGGAGGAGGAGGCGGAGGAAGAGGGAGACGTCGATGATGCGGATTAGGATGGTGATGGTGACGGTGAAATTGGCAACGATGCTTATGACGATGATGATGATGATGGAAATGTGGATGATGGATGATGTCGAGATGCCGAGATCCGGAATGTCTCATGCGATCATGACGTGACGGTGGTGCGATGATGGTACTCTAGTCTACTCCAGCCTGCTCTACTCGATTCACGCTACTCTACTCACGCTACACTAATCTAATATACTCCGTTTTACTCTACTCTGCCTCACTCTGCTCTATTCTACTCTACTCTATCATACTATCTTCCCTACTCCAGTCTACTCGACGCTGCTCTACTCTACCCTATTCGACTGTACCTAGACTACCCTACCCTAACCTACTCTAGTCTAGTCTACTCGACTCTGCCTACCCCTACTCTACTGGACTCTACTCGTAGAATTCTCCACTCAAATATACGATCCTTGACTCGACCCTGCTCTACTTTTACTCTTTTAAACGTGATTCCTTTGTTGTGTTTGTTTTGTCCTGGCCGCGCCGCGTGGCCGATACCACATGTAAAGCAGCGAGGGGTGCCATCGACAGTGCTCCCGAACGACGTTGCTTCAGGAATGCCAGAAAGTCCGTCTTCAATAACCTTTCGCCGTCACCTTAGTAGCCAAATCGGCAGGGCAGGAAAAGGGCTCAAACTTGTACCAAATGCGGCGACACCTGTGGCTTTCCCTACAGGGTCAACGCCAAAAAACACAAAATGTGCCAACATCGGGCCGCAGCTAGGTGGCCGGTGGGGCGGGTAGGGGAGGACGGAGGAGGACGAAGAGGGCGAAAGAAGTGGAAACCAACGCAAACTACAAGCGAGCCAGGCCTGAAACCCACTGCCTAGCATCAGGCATAAGAGTGTCGAGCAGGTCCTTTGTGAAAAGAATTACCCAAAAATTTAAACATCAGAATTCGACCTAGAGAGCATGCAAAGGAAGGCGCTAACCAAAAAAAACCAGAGCGCAGGAGGAGAACGAGGCGCGGCGGAGGAAACAAGGGAAGCTTCTATATATATATATATATATATATATATAAACACTGGCAGAACAATTGCGCTCAACTCTCGGTGCTGATCCCCTCTAATCACTCCTCCGTGCCACCACGGCCATCGCGGAGATACTCCCGAAGGCCCCCATCCACGTCGGCAGAGGCGCAGGTGGCGCCGCGCACTGTGGGTGCGGTACGAAGCGTAGACCGCGACAGCCCAGCGCTGCGCGACGTCATCGCTGTTCCAGGGGCCGCCGATTTGCAGAACATTGCCCCATGACAAACCGCCAGCGGGTATAATATCGCCGAACAGCCCCCGCACCACCGGGCATAAGGCCAGGTGGGAAATGCTGTCCTTGCCCCCGTTGCAGCCTAATCGGCAAAGGGCACTTCCTCCGAAACGCGAGCCGGCGAATCATCCATTGCACTACAGTCGCAGCACTGCTGTCCAGCCTCGCGGTTGGCAGAGGCGACGCGCGTGATGAATCGCAGTCACAGCGGGTTCGAGGCGCAACCGCGGAAGCAGGACGGTGGGCCAATGCGGCAACTTTCGCTGGAGCAACGCCTGGACATGTGCACCAGCAGGGCCCGGACGATGTGCCGCGCGCTGCTGGGTCGCCAACCCCTGCCATGTCCGAACCGTCGTTCGCCCTCAGGCGCCGCGTCCCCGACAGCCTGAATTGCGCGAGCCGCTTCGCTGAGATTGCATAGGAAGCTCCTGTCTCGCCACACGTGGAACCTGCAAAGACGATGTAACCAGACGGATAGGACTTGCATGAGAGCTGCTTCAACTCCAAGGCCCGCTCGAGAATGCGAAGAGCACCGCCAGCCTCGTGCTGCGCCACCCTGGCGCTGACGGCGGCCATTGCGATGACAAGATTGGGGAGGTCATGTGGGCAGCCCGCGCCGGTGAGATCCTCGAGCGCGTCCGGCGTCGCCCAATCGCAGGGTCCAGGCAACAGGCGGCGGCAGGCAACGGCTTCGGTCTCCAAGAATGTCTCTGGCAAGTTCTCAAACTGGCCGACGAAGAGCAGCGCCGATGCGACGCGTGTTTTGTATGCCATGAGGCCCAAGAGCAGCCCGGCGCCCAAGCGGCCCCATTGCGCGGCGCGGCGCTCGAAACAGGCGTCAGAAAGCAGCATGGATCTACTCCGCGGGGGAAGGGGGGGTGCGAGGGCCCGCGCCGATCGGCTTGCGGACGAGGAGTCCCCGCGATAACTGATGCCGCCCAGGTCCAGGATGCGCCCCCAGATGTTTGGCCGCCGCGGCGATGACCATCCCGCCCCAACTAAGTGCGCACTCTCGAAGAATGGCACGCACATTGTCTGTTTCAGCAACGCGGATTTCGCAATGCTGAGGCGCAGCCCCGATATTTGCTCAAACTCCTCGGAGAAGCGTTGGAGGGGGGGCCGCGGCGAGGTCGTCGGCGAAAGCCCGGCCCGCTGCCGCAGGAAAGCGTCGCCTCAAGCGTCGGAGGAAAAGGTCTGAGCACGCGACGTAGAGCAGGGGAGAAAGTGGGCAGCCCTGGCGAGTTCCACGAGTCAGCGAGAGGCCAGAAAACCGAGCGCTGGCGAGCCCCGCCTCGCAGCGATTGTCTCGGCACCAGATCAGCACGAAGTTGGCGAGCCAGGACGGCCAGCCAAGGCCGCAGAAGAACTCCATGGAGCGTCGGTGCTCGATCGACGGGAACGCCGCCGCGAAGTCCAAGAAAAACGCGATGCCCCCTTCCCGGGCCGCCGTGGTCGAGAGTCTCGAGAGCGTCGCTTTGCCTGCGTCGTGGACGCTGCTCACCGCGTAACGCCCCTGGATGAATCCCCACTGCCCCCCGGCGACGGATGGCCCCAGCGCGGGCTCGAGCAGGAGGCGGCGCGTGCTTGCGAGCAGCCTATTGTCGCTGCTTGTTGCGTTCAAGGGCCGAACGCCATCTTGGTCGAACAAGTCCCCCCCCGCGTTCCGTCGTGCCGATGGCCATGTTCGGGCGGAAAATGAAGGCGCTCGCGTTGAAGTCCGGGCACTTGGTCGCCAATCTGCCCAGGGCGTCACCTGCGCAGAACTCCGCGAAAGCGTCGCGGAGAGCGTCTGCGGCCAATGTCTCAATCCGGCGCCAGGCTGCGTAGGGCATTCCATCGGGGCCCGGGGCGGAATTGTTCGACGTCTTGATCTTCTTCATGTGCC